TACATTCATATATATAAGTAGTTCAAAATACAACATCCTACAAAATTATATTTTAACGCGTCGTACATAATACAACAAAACATATTTATGCATTCGACCATTGAGCAAACATCTCGTTTGCGAGGCTATCTCTCAATGCAGTCTATGTAGTAGTTGTTTCGACAAAGTTTATGTTATCTCCACTGGAACCATCAAATTCATTGACAACAGGACACACTTGCTCGAATGATGGATCTGGACCCATTTCTCTACACATCAAGTTATGTAACAGGCAACATGCTGTTATGGTTCTACGCTGTATCTGRACGGGGTAATATGATTTTCCTCGTAGGATTGCCCACCTTCCCTTTAGAGCGCCGAAAGCCCTCTCGATAACATTTCTTGCAAAAAAATGTCTCATGTTGAATAGCTCTTTTGGAGTAGTTGGTTCGTTTCCCCCACTCCATTCAGTCAAATGGTATCATTCTCCACGATATGGCACCAAGAATCCTTCGACATTTGGGTAACCAGCATCAGACAAATAATAGCACCCTGTGGTGCATGGATGAATAATTTTTTTTAATTGACAACATGGTATATGCTATATGCACTTTGCAACACTAAGCATCATCTTACCCCTTGGGACATTCAGACCAATAGGTCGAGATACTGCATCTCTTAGAACTCTTGAATCGGATGCGGATCCTTCCCACCCAGGCATAACAAATATGAACTGTCCATTCTGGGAGCACACAGCAAGCGTGTTCGTTGTAATATCCCCCTTCCTATTTCTATACCTCGGGCGATCGCCCGACAGATACGTTCACTTTTATGTGTGTGTCATCTAATACACCTAGGCAATTCTGTTATGCAGAGATACAAACCTTGGATAATTGATTTTAAAAACATCATTTCTATTAAGAACTTAGTTTATTTCTTATACCTAAAACCAGTGCCACCTCTTGTCCGTGCAAGAGTTAGTAACTGGCCCGGGTGTCTTCAAAAGGACATTGTGAAGTCTAAGTATGACATTTAGGACAGAGTTAAAATGTCTAGACACCGTCTCGCTGAACCTTGCAAATTGTCGCCTTACGACTCTAATCTTAACATCATGTGCTAGGATATGGAGAAAAATAGTGACCATCTCCTCGACATCCACATATTGAGTCGCTGTCAACTCCCCCGTTGTCCTAAGCAAGGTACATAGTATAGCGAAACATGTCCTATCCATCCTCGTACTTTCTCGACATGATAAATCGTCTGCATGAATAAGTCGGAAGAAAATCAGTTGTCTAATTTGGTGTCTAAAGTATGGTGATTGATTCTCTATCCTCTTTTGGCTCTTTAGTACGATATCTAAGACTACTATGAACTGACGTTGTGTTGTACATATGACAGTTAATATTGCAATCTACTCATGGGGTTCTATGTCCATGTCCATTACTAATAATTTTCGTTAAGGTCCTGAAACAAAAGGATTCGATACATGAGCCTCACAAATTTTTAATGAAACTACTTCCTACATAAACTACAAGTATTCCAAGTATAAACCATATTGCTAACAATCTGATAACATAAAATCTTCCTTCATATCCTCCTACGTGGTGAGTACTTCTTGTGGGTTGGATGATAAAACCATGATTACTAGGTCCTAGATCAGTCGATTGGCCAACTGTGGCTACAATGTAGGCATACTCAGCTTCTTTTAGTGTCAAATATGACTTGTGCACAGACAAATACGAAATAGAATTTCGTTTTTCCCATATCCCTAATATGTAGAATAAAATCAGTTTACATCTACCCCTAAGGAATTGATCTATCATTGCTTCCCATAACATTCCCAAAATAAGTTGTCATTCATTATTTAATCATAGTTCCCATGGTCACTTAATTAGAAGCATATTTTAGTAAGTTGATTTTAAAATTAATTGTTACTTATTATTTCAAAATATTATCAGAGTTATGAATAGAATAGTCCATATTTATGACACCACTTTTCCAATCATAGATAGTCCGACTTTAAAAAAAAAAATGCAACCATTTTAAAATAATCTGGACTCGTTATTTTAAAATATTATCATGATTATAAACTACTAATATAAAATATTATCTACTTTTCAATTATTATATTAGGATCAAATATTTTGAAACATATTAAGCAAAAAAAAAATTCTCAAATTTTACGGTCATTTTTAAAATAATGGTACTGAAGGGATGTGAATCCCGGAGCGGAAGCAGACCGTTGTTCGTGATATTTGGGTAACAAAATCAATATTCAAAGAAGAAAAACAGGAGAAAAATTATACCTTTGAAGAACTTTTCTTCAATAAATTTCCCTCGAACACCACCACTGAATCTTCCTTGCTATCCTCTTGGGTTTCGAGATCACGCTTGTGGGAGCGTTTCTTTGGAATGAGAGGGAGTGTTGAGAGAGCTTGAGAGAGATAGGAGTTCTGTATTTTTTGTTCTGTACCTCTGTGTTTTTGCAGAAGTGCAAAAAAGGAAGAACAAAAAACAGTGACGTGGGAGTTACCGCACGTCACTTAACTGCCCACTCCCCTGCAATTTTGCAGGGGAGTTAATTATTATATATTAATATTATTAATTAATATATATAATAATTAATATATATATATATAATTTATTAATTAATCATATTAATTAATAAATATAATTAATTATTAATCCAATTAATAATTAATTAATTAATATATATATAAATCAAATAAATAATTAACACTTAATTATTTATTATAAAATTAAAATCATATTCTAAAACATTTCTCTCGCATAACCTATAGTTGTAATGTACATCTTATGCACATTATTTTCAACCTATAGTTTTAATATGAATCATATTCATATTAATTTTATTTGAATCTCATTTAAATAATTTCTCTCATAATATATTATAATGTAATATACATATAATCCCTTAAGTAATTTGAACAATTCAAATTCTTCCAAAAACTTAATCCTCGTTTTATCTGTTATGAGCTAGCAAAGGGACCTAATGGACCTACAGATCAGAAGCTCCAACGATGCAAGATTAATCGGTCAAACTCATTGACCGAGTTAATTAAGATTCAT